CATTGGCGCAATACAAAATATTGCTGTCAATACCCACTTTACCCTAATGCGCATGTTTTTAGAAAAAAGCGCCCAATTGAAAGAAAGCGCCCAATTGGGCGCTTTTGCCAGCCCAATTTTTGAGTATCATATGACGTCATCAGGAGTCAAAAATGTGCTTGCCTTAAGAAGTTGTTATATAAACGTGTACAAAACACTGGTAAACACTTAAAATACATTGGTGCATCAAACAGCCGTTACATGTAGCTCAATACTTAACATACAACAGTCGTAAAACCAGACACTCAAGAAGCGAGCACGGGATATTCCCTTTTGTACGCAACCATAGCGCACTGTTTTTCGGGACTTTCCCTTTTGTACGCAATAATCCCCAGTTTGCTGTACACACAATGTACGTGGCATTAATTGAGCGTTTCAAGACGTAGGCGTGTTCAACTTCAAATTTCAAGGGGGCTGCAGGGCATCTTTTAGTTAACGTATTGTAACGAAACCTTGGGAAGTTTTAGACCCATTACTAAAGTGCCATTTAAAGCACAAAACTTGATTATATCTCTGAAGGTTGATTTTTCAGCAATTTTCAAAGGAAAAGAGGTCTTTTCTTTGTAACTTCCGGTCTGATTACGTAATCAATTTTTTTTCGCGCACAGGTATTGTCTGCATTAAGATGATCATTTATATTAATTTTGAAGCGATTACAGCAAAGTTGGCTACAGACATCGACTGAAAATGCGTTTTGGACATTTTTTAACCTGCCGCTAGAGGGCGCTCCAACTATTCATGGCGTCATCGATCATTTTTTTGGAAAGGTCAACCCACCCACAGACTAACATCCTTGAAAGCAAGTTCATATCTTTTTCCACTTTCAAATTATTAGGCACTTCCGGTTTCGACCGGAAGGAAGGGTCACGTGATTTTGCACGCACAAGATAAATTGAAGATCATGTATTATCATGTCGATTCCCGCAAAATTCAAGTTCCGGTCTCTCAAGGTTGATTTTATATTGAATTTCAAAGATTAAATTTATTATTTTTTGAAGTGACGTCACGTGACCCATGATGACGTCATGATGACGTCAATGCAAAAAAAATCATCTTCAGTGGGTTGTGTTTTCATGTATTGACAATTGAAGTTCATATCACTTTTCATGTTGACAAACAGTTCTGGAGAAGAATTTTGCTGAGAAGAACAAAAAAAAAAAAAAAAACAATAATAGTAAACTCTTACAATAACAATAGGTGTTGGGCTCAGGCCCAACACCTAAAAATCCATATCTGGCACATTCTGGCTACCACCTCGCAACTTGTGGGTCTACATGTACAAGTCCACATTCTATGACAGAAATTAAAAAATTAATTCAACATGTTCTAGCTACCATTTTTTTAAATCAAGTACACAAGTCTTGTTAGAAGTTACATGTAAGTCCTATATTTATTTTAGGAAAAAAGAGGCACAATGTAAAATTAAAATTGCATCTTTAAATATCCGTTAGAAGTCATAGCTGAAACCAAGGGGTGACTGTGGAGTTTAGGATCCGAGTTCCTATAACAGATGAAACATCTACCTTTAACTTTTTACTTTTGTCACGATTGGGTGCAGACAACATGTCAAAGCCCATATTTCTTAAGTGTAACTACTTTTTGCTCAAGTAAGGTGTCATGTATGAATTTGTCAACACTGCCACTGGTCAACATTTTGGTCTGTATTCTTTGTGAATAGAAGGGTTACATTTTTCAACTATAATAACGTGTCTTGTTTTTTTTTATTTCGACTATTGTTATTTATTATCAGCGGTCTCGGTCTCGGTCTCGGTCTCGGACCACATTGGTCTCGGTCTCGGTCCGCCTTGAAAGGGCTGGTCTCGGTCTCGGTCTCGGTCTCGAATCTTCAGGTCTCGGTCTTGGTCTCGGTCTCGGACTATCCGGTCTCGACTACAACACTGCCTGTCACTTATTTCTGTCGTGAATACTGTGGCGCAATAGCAGTTTGGTGGTAGCCAGGGGCTATCGTAGCTGTAAAGTAGACAACGACCTAGACGTCAGCCAGGGCTGATGCGCGTAATGCGCCGCGGCACCAGTCTATTTGCCGCGTGGGTATAAAAGCGCGAGCGCGTGTTCAGTGCGGGAGTTCCGTTGCAGTACCGTTCCAGTCCCGTACCAGAGTAGTGAGACACGGGTGACCAGTAGTGCGTCGCAGTTGCTGAGCGTGTTTATTCAGTCCCTCGCCCGTGCAGATTATAGTAGGCAGCTGTGTCCGTAAGTGAGGCTCTTACTGGGATAAGTTTAGCGGGGGCTTGTTCGGTCAGTTGAAGAGGGGAGGAACTCCGTCCACGGGAATAGGTAGCGAGGCCGTAGTGGTGAGTGGACGTTAACTTAGTGTGGAAGATTATAACCTGTACAGGGAACTCGCACCTGTTTAGGAAACTCGCACCTGTTAAGGAAACCCGCAGCTGTTTAGGAAACTCGCACCTGTTAAGGAAACCCACACCTGTTTAGGGGAGGCACCTGGGAAGGTGATCAACACCTGTCAAGGTCTAGAGATGATTTGCAGTCTGTCTGAGTAGATTATAATAAAGGAATGTCAACCTAAAGAGAAGAGTCCCGTGTTTGATTTAGAGGTGCCCTGTTTCCCTTCCCCTGCCCTGTTCCCGTGTGTGCTGGCGCGACAGCTGCTGGCGTAAGAACCGCCCGCGAATAAAGTTGTTCCCCTGCTGCGCCTGGCGGTAGACTGCCCCAAAACGGGCCTGCTCCCTTGGCCTTCTCAGAATTGACCGCTCGCTGACGTCGGCCGAGGACGACTCGGGGTTGCTGTCGGCGCGACCGCCACAATACAAAGAGATTCATGTATTCCACATGTCTGTATTCTAACAGGTTTGACGGATCCACCTGAATTTCCAGTTAATACGTACACACTTGTAATTGGCAAATACAGAGTTTACATGTACATGTACTTCATATGAGATAATGTGATGCTGTTGATTTATATCAGATGTACAGACAGACTTATAGGTAGACCCACTATATAAAAATCTTACCTTCAGGTACACATGAAATGAGCCACTGCTATCTTCCCATTCTGATGTCACTTACGGAAATGGTAGAAATGAACAAAGATGGCGATCTACTGTATGTATACGCCCCTCTGTATCAACACGGACCATGTCACATGATTTTGAGTTCAGTTATTTGCAGTCCCTGGATTCCACTTATGTAGCACTTTGGTACGTGCTGTACAAGTAAAATCAAACACAGCATGCGACTGTTTTCTACATCTAACAGATCCAAAGGGTCTATATGCTGTTAATATTAACAATTTGAAAGACAAGTTTATTAGAATAGTAAACATAAAGAAGCCGAATGAAGCTGAATTTCATCGCAAATGACATTTACTTTGCTCTCATGTCGCAAGTCAGGAAACTCAAGTTTGTAGTATAGACAAAAGTAAACTAATAAGGAAGAGGTACATGAAATGAACCGACAATGATAGTTTTGGAATCTAGTTTTGTTTTGTTGGTTGTTTTTTGTTTAATTTCTTTATATTTATTCACATTTTAGCAAGTGTGCAATTGGTGTTTTACATTACACTCAACGGCACTGTGCTTGCATAGTTACCCCTCAGCCGAGAGGCTCGAGGGGTATTGTCATCGCCTAGGGCGTCCGTCCGTCCGGATGTATGTCTGTCCGTCCGTCCGTCCGGGTAGCTTGGTTTCCGGATGATAACTTGAGTTAGAAATGTTGTTTGGGGTTGTAACTTCGGTAGGGGGTTGCCCTTGGGAGTAGGCAAGTTGGGATTGGTTTTGAGGTCAAAAGGTCAAAGGTCAAGGTCACCGTGGTGAGTTAAAGGTAAATGGTTTCCGGATGATAACTTGAGCTAGAAATGATATTTTGGTGGCTAACTTTGGTAGAGGGTTGCCCTTGGGAGTAGGCAAGTTGGGATTGGTTTGGGGGTCAAAAGGTCAAAGGTCAAGGTCACCATGGTGAGTTAAAGGTAAATGGTTTCCGGATGATAACTTGAGTTAGAAATGGTATTTTGGTGTCTAACTTTGGTAGAGGGTTGGCCTTGGGGGTGGGCAAGTTGGGATTGGTTTGGGGGTCAAAAGGTCAAAGGTCAAAGTCACCATGGTGAGTTAAAGGAAAATGGTTTCCGGATGATAACTTAGGTTAGAAATTAGATTTTGATGTCTAACTTTGGTAGGGGGTTGCCCTTGAGAGTAGGCAGGTTGGGAATGGTTTTGGGGTCAAAAGGTCAAAGGTCAAGGTTACCGTGGTGAGTTAAAGGTACATAGTTTCGGGATGATAACTTGAGTTAGAAATGATATTTTGGTGTCTAACTTTGGTAGAGGGTTACCCTTGGGAGTAGGCAAGTTGGGATTGGTTTGGGGGTCAAAAGGTCAAAGGTCAAGGTCACCGTGGTGAGTTAAATGTAAATGGTTTCCGGATGATAACTTGAGTTAGAAATGAGATTTTGGTGTCTAACTTTGGTAGTGGGTTGCCCTTGGGTACAGGCAAGCTGGGATTGGTTTTGGGGTCAAAAGGTCAAAGGTCAAGGTCACCTTGGTGAGTTAAATGTATATGGTTCCGAATGATAACTTGAGTTAGAAATGAAATGTTGGTGTCTAACTTCGGTAGGGGGTTTTCCATCGGTACAGGCATGTTGGGACTGGTTCTGGGGTCAAAGGTCAAAGGTCAAGGTCACCATGTTGAGTTAAAGGTTAATGGTTTCCGGATGATAACTTGACTCTGGCTGAGGGGTTTCAACAGCTACGCTGTTATTTTTTATCTATGTTATCATAATTCATCATAGCTAAAGTTGTTATTTCTTGCAGTGATTCGGCATCAGTGCTTCTTTACAAAATGTCCAAAACTCACATTTTTAACGCTTTCTCTTTTATCAGTAAGCTACATGCATCCCAATTATTAAGTTCATGCAACACTAAATTTAAATATTCATTCATATTTTGTGCCTTCTGTAGACTGATTGGTCCATTGCTGAGATCAATGCTGAGATTGGGGATATCGAGCCACGCCTACGTCTACACATCACAGACTGATGAACAGGTAACACAACATCAATATGTGATGTCAGTCTATTTTACATCTGTATTATTATTATTGTTATTATTATTATTTATTCGACCAGGACAAATCTTACAAACAAATATGACCCAAAACAACATACATGAACATTAAGGAAAACAAAAAAGAACCAATAAAGAAGTAAACAAACAAACTATCGAACAAATCAATAAATAAATAAGTAGACAATAAAAAAAAAAATAATAATAATAATAATAATAATTTAAATAAATAAAATAAAATAACAAAACATATTAAATAACAAAAAAAAAAAACCAGTAGTAGAGAGCAACTAGGAACCGACTCTGACTGGCTGAATAAAAGAATGAATTAATTAATGAGGGTGGTGTATGCAGGAGGGGATCTAGACCATGAAAGGGGAAAGTATTAACAAACAAAGGACAAAACTAACGACGAAACATACGGGCCAGGGACAACAAAAGTAAACTGAATTACTGTTGCTTGGAAGCATGCTGCCCCACGTATGATGAACGAAGAAAAGAGGATTAAATCAAACACAAAGAACAGGGACTGGAAGTATAACAGGGCCTATATAATCACGACCTGCATACACCAAAAGTGAACGTCTAGGAAGCAATAGTGTTTAAACAGTCGTCTTTTAGTTGACGGAGAAATGTTGGCAGAGGACAGATTACAGCAGCATCCCGAGTTTCAGGTGGAACAGTGTCCTACAATCTGGGGAATCGATGGGAAGCCGAGTGAAACAAGGACTCAGTACGAGCATAGAGATGGCGAAATGTGAGCGAGTCAGGATGACGAGGATTTATGGAAATATTCGCAAGAATTGATTCGCAGTGAGCAGTGCCATGCAAAACCTTGAAAACAAAGGCACTGAGGAGGTAGCTGCGCCTGTTTGTTAGAGGATGCCAGTTTAGACGCTGTAATCTGTGCTCATAAGACATTTCTCCGCGTCTTTGATGAAGAGCAATATGGGTGGCTGTTCTTTGAACCCTTTCGAGCTGATTCTGTTGAGATAAAGTGTGTGGGTGCCATGCTGGAAGACCACATGGTATATGGTTGCTCAAGATGGGCAGGGCGTTCATGCCAGTTTCAGGATATAGCCTGTAGTCAGGCTTTTTTCTGATTTTGGAAAAACAAACTCAGGCATTCTGTCCCTTCACAGGCCAGAAAAATAAATCATCAACGCCATGCTATAGCTCGATACGTGATTGTATGAATTGTAAGTTCAAAGTAGACATACATATCATGTACACACATGTGGTATTGCAATGTGTTTACAATGTGTTGGCATTCCTTTGTTATTGTTCAACCCCTGTTACCTGTGACTGAACTTGTAAAGGGACTTGTGATTTACTAATAAAAGGACATGTGATCTTGCTTGTAATCTTGCTTGTAATTGAGGGTCGAGTTGAAGCCTTGGGCTTATATGACCCATTGAATCTTGGTCAGAACTAATCTGATCTGATCTGAAAGAGGGCATGGTTGCAGAATAGAAATAACACAAACGAATAGCACTTGTTGCGATAATAACTGATTAATATCTTGGAGTGAATTTGCACTTGTGGAACTGCCAAACATTATTAAGATTTGCTTTTCAAAGAACTTGTTCCCATTTTTTTTTTTGTCCTCCATTTTTTTCTCTCCAAAATCTAAACACTGAATTGACCTAGGGAGTTGCCCTTGATTTCTGACATCTATGAACAATATGAAATAAATTTCCTATTCAGTGTGAAGCATTTCAAGAATACCACCAGACATTATCTAGCACAACTATTCTTGATAATTATACAAATGATTAATGTTTGTGAGTGCAATGGTAAGAATAATTTCATGAGGTGACAGATGAAATGTCCCATTCCACGAGGCGAAGCCGACTGAAATAGAACATTTCATCTGTCACCGAATGAAATTATTCTTTCCATTGCACGAGCGTGAAACATTCATTATTTGTTTTATATAACACCTGAATAAATCCTTGTCATCTGATTGGTTGACTTTTACTAGCAAATTTATTCAGGTTAAAAACTGTTTAAAAGTTCGACAAGTTCATCATATTTATATTAATGCAAACTGTTTGACAGGTTAAGAACAATCATATTCAATTTATCTCGATTTAAAACAGCGCCACCACCAGCAGCAGTGACACCGTGCAATGGAAGTTCAAGTTCTATTCACAGTGCAATAGAACTTCCATTAAACTGTGCGCTGCGCGCCACGCGCGCGCCGTGCGTTGGTATGAATAATTCAATGACATGTGATCAACCACCCATCAATCAGACGACTGGGATTTATTCAGGTATTGTATAAAACGTAATATTTGATGGTGCTCTTGGAAAAAATCACATGCTTACTCGGGTTGGATTCGAACCCATGACCTCCTGCTATCAGAGTGTAAAATGAAATAGCAGAAAATATAAATATACTTTGTTTCACCCCGTGTTGCAAAATAAAACAACTACAAAATGAATAGACTACATAGTTTAATTCTACAAAACTTTCAACACACTGCCAACAGCTTTGTTAATAACTTACGGTGTTTCTTTAATTTTTATGCCCCGCGGCGAAGCCGAAGGGCCATACTGTTTCCGCCTCGTCCTTCCGTGGGTGGGTGGGTGGGTGTGTGTGTGGGTGAGCTTGTCTTACATACGCAGTGTGGACTTCCGAACAAAACACGTCCACATAATGTAGGTAGCACCGACGAAGTGTGGACTTGCCCACGTCCACACAGTGTTTCCCCATTTCTGGAAAACAGGTTTAGAGGCATTTTTGGGTTAGGTTTATCTGTAGCAGAATGAAGAGAAACACTATAGGGAATCATAGAAAAAAAATTGGGTTGTAAGAGTTTTCACAGTTTGAGAAAAATGAGTTTTTCCACTGGTGTTCCTTAACTACACGAAAAGAAAGGAAAGTCCACACTACGTATGTGAAACAAGTCTGGGTGGGTGTGTGTGAGCTTGTCTTACATACGCAGTGTGGACTTCCGAACAAAACACGTCCACATAATGTAGGTAGCACCGACGTTGTGTGGACTTGCCCACGTCCACACAGTGTTTCCCCATTTCTGGAAAACAGGTTTAGAGGCATTTTTGGGTTAGGTTTATCTGTAGCAGAATGAAGAGAAACACTATAGGGAATCATAGAAAAAAAATTGGGTTGTAAGAGTTTTCACAGTTTGAGAAAAATGAGTTTTTCCACTGGTGTTCCTTAACTACACGAAAAGAAAGGAAAGTCCACACAAGGTATGTGAAACAAGTCTGCGCGTGTGTGGGTGGGTGTGTGTGTCCGGACAAATCTTGTCAGCGTGATAACTTGAGAAATACTTAACATATGAACTTCAAATTTGGTTTGTGGATTGTTCTTGGTAATCCTAAGAAGCCTTTTGCATTTGGGGCCAAAAGGCCAAAGGTCAAGTTCACAGTGGCTAAAACAATAGAAATCTTGTCAGCGCGATAACTTGAAAAATACTTAACATATGAACTTCAAATTTGGTTTGTGGATTGTTCTTTGTAATCCTAAGAAGCCTTTTGCATTTGGGGCCAAAAGGCCAAAGGTCAAGTTCACAGTGGCTAAAACAATAGAAATCTTGTCAGCGCGATAACTTGAAAAATACTTAACATATGAACTTCAAATTTGGTTTGTGGATTGTTTTTGGTAATCCTAAGAAGCCTTTTGCATTTGGGGCCAAAAGGCCAAAGGTCAAGTTCACAGTGGCTAAAACAATAGAAATCTTGTCAGCGCGATAACTTGAGAAATAATTAACATATGAACTTCAAATTTGGTTTGTGGATTGTTTTTGGCAATCCTAAGAAGCCTTTTGCATTTGGGGCCAAAAGGCCTAAGGTCAAGTTCACAGTGGCTAAAACAATAGAAATCTTGTCAGTGCGATAACTTGAGAAATAATTAACATGTGAACTTCAAATTTGGTTTGTGGATTGTTCTTGGCAATCCTAAGAAGCCTATTGCATTTGGGGCCAAAAGGTCAAGGGTCAAGTTCACAGTGGCTAAAACAATAGAAATCATGTATTTATTCTGAGATAATAGGGATTAGGGATTAATTCATATAAAACCTACAGAAGACACTAATGCTGTCAATGAATGTTCCATGTGACTAAGGTACATGTAAGTTGATGTTAAAAGAGTGGTGTTATGTCATGGGAACTGTCACCGTTGCGGGGCATTTGTGTTTGTTAACACACCTGACTTATTTTAATATTGCTCTGATATTTTAGGATTTCATTCACAAGCTGGTGGTGCATGACATCCGTGTCTCATGGACAAGGTTCAACAGAGATGCGGTGCTGGGACTCTGACACCTACAACAAGTCACAGGTAAACAGTGCCATTCAGTGTGCAGGCCTAAACAATGTGGCTTGTGTTAGAAATCAAAAGGTTCTCATTGGTAACTTGGGGGCAGTATTTGAAAAAAAGGCAGTTTTCTTCCCAAAGCCGGTCGGCGGACCGGTGTTGGATATTGATTAAAAAAAATACCACTTCTTGAAAATGACAGTTCAGTAAGGTATAATTTTCATAATAATTTGGTAGTTTTGGGTTTGTGATGTTTGCAAGTGTTGTATATTCCCTTTAAGGCTTCATGTACATTGCAGGGAAATAAAAAGTTGGTGGTACTTCTAAGATGTAACAAATTTTTATTTCCTCAATGCTAATTCCATTTCAAAAATACATTTTCGCTGTCTTGCTTTGGATGTGATCAGTTGAGCTGGAGAACAGCCAAGTCATGCTGAAAGGCTGCAAAGCGTCGGGTTATGTCATCGTCTGCACGTCTAGTGCCCAGATCATGCGGTGTTCCCACTTACCAGCCTGGAGGGAAGGTCGCCTGACTAAGAAGACCAGCTGGGTGGGCAAGCTGGATGGACTGCAGGTTAGAAGACTTTGAGCTCATCAATTAGAAGTGTTGCCCTTACTTCCATTGCTTTGTGCATCTCATGCAGCTTACTGTATATAGTGGAATGTTTGGTGTTTCTAAATTGGCTGACTCCTAAACTGTTGGCTGTTTTGGCAACTTGCTGAAACAGCTATTTTTGTTCTTTCATTGAGATTGTGAAATTTAAGACAATCTACTTGTTAGTTTTCTGTGTCACATTCGGAAACTTTTCTAGACCTGAAGTCAAACGAGGTTTCACTCCTATAAACTGTTAATGAAACCAGTGACTTTCTCTCTTGTCTTTAGTTGTTATATAGTGCACAATTATTTGTGACTCGCATTGACTCCAGCTAAATATTTGACGTACTCAACTCGACTCAAACCTTCTTGACCTAATGACTTGACTCGACTTGAGTCACTTCTTTAAAATGACTTGACTCAACTTGAGTCACTTCCATGAAATAATTCGACTCAACTTGGGTCACACAAAACAGTGACTCATTACAACTCTGCTGAGGAATGACAAGGCGATTCCAATGCAGAAGATAATAAATTATAAAATGAGTCCTTGGCATTGTCAGCAGCAGCCTTTGTATAATGTTGGCTAAATGTTAAAACATGTGAACACTGCATAAAAGCTCTGCAAAAAATGCTTACAAAAATAAACATGCATGACCATTATTACAGTATTATATTAGTAAAATGTGATGTTTTATCCTTCCCCCCAGGCCAGGCCCATGTCCCTGAAAGTGATGACGATAATTCCAGCTCCTGGGGTTCTGACACCAACATCCCCTCTAGAAGGACCAAGACCGCGTGGTCAGCGACGCTGAGATGTGACACATGACGCTCACCAGACCGGCTAAGGTTGGTGCTTATTGGGTCAGTCACTACCGAACACCATTACCACACTGCAAAAACAGACAGACAAGCAAGACCCTTGGAGGAATTCAAGCTGACTTTGGGGTACAAGTTTGGCTCAGTGATATTTTTTCAAGAACTTTAAAAGTCCCAAAAAATTTAATGAATTTCTGTACTCTATAGAATTTCAAGTGAGGTTATGAGATCTTCCCATTTTCGTATCTGCAAAGCAGAATGTATCAGAATACAAGGGCTTTATTTCAACCAATTGTTACCGACAACAAACAAATTCTCCACTCGATCAGCAATAGCTTAATGTATTTACCAGACAGTTTTTTGCCAAAAATGTTTCGTTGAGTCAGTTTATTGACTCACCAGTTATGTGTCCCCGATGTCTAGTCTGAGTCATGAGTTGAGTCATGAGAGCCGAGTTTGAGTCATCATCCATTGTAACTTGAAGTTGAGTCTGAGAATTTGCAACTCAAGTCAAACTCAAGTCCGAGTCACAGACTCAGTTCTATATTTCTGCCATACTGGTGTATGGCTATGTGGTCCATGTGCTTGCTGAAGAATGAATATGCAAACGATTAAGTCAGCCAAGGATAACTTGATTGGTATTTGAAGTCCGAGCTAGAGAGAGAAAAAGCAATGTAATGTGTGTTGTCTGTCAATTTATTCACTTTGAAATGTAGGTACTATATGAAATGTCAGTGGCAGTCAACTGTGAGGAAGCCAAGAAACCTGTCTGAAAAAAACAAGAACAGATTCCCCAATGTACTTCCATGAACAGGTAAGTTCATTTTGTAGAAGTTGGTGTACTTTTAAATAGACCGTTAAGTTGAAAAGTGGCCTCTTGAGGCAAACACTTGTTAGCACACTCACACTGCATTGTTCTTAATTGTAGGGGGATGGAGGCTAAGGTACTCCATGGAATATCTCCTTGCACAGCAAGGGTCTATGATATCCGAGCAGATTCGGCGATTGTTATGTAAAACAAGACTGTGTCTTGACCTCGAGACCGTTCAGCGGGCGCCTTCTATGTTGGGTCTTCGGTAACCTTTTGTCGTGTACATCTAATGAAACCTAGAGACAACATCCATTATGCTTTTACATTGTGAATTGTGTCAGCAAAAATAGGCTGTGTCACACGGCCTGTAGCGATGTGTTACGTGATGCGCGAGCGTGACCTTGAATCATCATCACATCATATTTTAAATAACGCGCGTAATGAAAATGCCGTCTGGCACGTTCACGTCTCGCCCACAATGAGCATTCATGCATGCTAACAGTTTTGAAAGCCAATGTCGGGTTTTATTGGATCTCTATGTCCATTTTTGTATTACAAAAACATGGCATCAAAATTTACCAATGAACAGCTTAGTCCAGATTTCAGAATGAAATGATGTCATGTCGATTCCAATTGGCTGGCGCACGGGATCGCATACATTTGCATGCGTAGATATATCAGACGTTGGGCCAGAGACAGAGAGGGTGATACAACGAGTGATACTCAGACTAGTGTTAAGGCTTCATTCAACATTTTGTATTTCAATTTATTCAAAAAAGAGTGGACTGTAACATTAGGCAATTAAATGGGGTTCGGTTGATACCATTCAAACCTTTTATTGGTTCGTAAGTAGTGTTCATAACTAGTGTTAATTGTATGAAAGAGACTGTTATATTCTTATTTCTTTTTACCTTTCATTGGTGTAACTATGGGCCTCGTGTCTCCCCCCCCCCAACTCCATTTGAAATCTTGAATTGCACACAACAAATGTATATGTTGCCTTCCTTGCCCCCCCCCCCCTTCCAAAAAATTGGTGAACCCCCAGGTGCCCCCTAGAAGCTTAACCCTAGTTTCGCCGCTGGTACCCTTAGAAAGTTCCAGATCACGTACATTTCATTCCCATAGAATGTGCGATAAGTTATCTATACATTTTGTAGGTGTGGTGGGTACTTGACTGCACCCTCGGCAACCATACGATATCAGTTCTTCCACTTGTTAGATGTCAAGTTTAACTGTTTTTACACCCGTAATTTAAAGGAAATATTTACTTTCAATATTTTTTTGTAAGCATGCCCTAAAAATGCTATAGCTAGAAATTCATTTTGGAGAAACAATTCCACGCTGTGATTTTTCCCTTGTAAAGTGGTTGCTAAAGTGCCAACAAATTTCAATCATTCATGTGTCACTTTTTCGCTTAAGATTTCTAGACATTTGTAGTTTCACAGGGTAATAAAATACTGGACCTAAAACCCCAGGAGGTGATCTTTAACATACAAAAGATTTCTTTTTGCTAAATTTTTCAAAGCTGACTAAGCAGTGTTGTTGTAGTGTTTGGTTTTTTTGTGCTCGCAATACGTGGTACTAGACTTCAACAAGCCTGACTAATTTTCTAAGATCATAGTTACATTCTCAATATATTTTGAGAGCATGTTGACAATGTTCAAATGCGGTCAATCAGGAGATAAAAAATCAAGGGAAAATGTGTTCACAAATCTGATTACTTGATAATCCCCTCTACCATTATGTACAAGTATAAATGTTGGGGAAACCACTGATATTATGCTTTTGTTGAAAAACAAAATGGTCTTAAATGTAAACAAACGACAACTGAGAAAAGAGGGTTGTTTCATAAAATCATTGTTTCTATGTTCTCAGAAAACGTTGTTTTTTTTTAAATGTCTTCGACAAAATATACAGTGAATGAACTAACTAGTGATACAATAACAACGGTTTCCAAATTCAATTGCCTATAAATGATAAAATACAAATATATATTTTTGAGTCGCATCATCGATGTAAAACAGGCAGCCCTCATTATGTATCAAATAACACTAGGAGCAGAGTTGTAACATGCCCAGTGGAAAATGCTGCTGAAACGTATGTGAGATGCTGATTCGTAAAATAACAGACTTGGGATCTTTGCTGAAATGCCATTGTTGTCATGGAAGCTGCGTTCTCTTGGAGAAATATTCTGTAATTAAAGCAAATGCTCATTGCTTCATTTAGACTACTTGGTCTATCAGCATGTAGCAAACCAATACTTATTCAAAGAAGCAAAAGCCTCAATCATTTAATGATTTATGATATAAACTAAACTATTATTGTAATGATACAGAACCTCTCACAAGTAGGTCATTCTATACATTCCTGTCCCTGTAACCTCTGAAATGTATAATTTGCCATTCAAGTGGCATTAAAAATGACTTCAAACTAATTAATATTTCTTGGGTAGGTCATTTGATTCACAGAAGCATTCTTGGAGGAAGAGTACACACATAAAGGAGTGCATCTTCTTTTACAAAATCGTAGATGCCTGACGTATAGGGACAGGAAAAAGTGAACCCCAAATTCATAGAATGTTCCAATGCATTTTCTATTGTAGTATTTAAAAAAAATCACAATAAAAAGGCAAACAAACGAAATCTCAGTTTTAAAATGTACATCCATCATACTAACCACATGTACAAACATCCATGTATCATTGAAGTAGAATGCACAAGGTTTTCAATTTCAACTTGGTTGTAAATGTAATGAAACTAATATTAATTTGATAAGGCACTCAGAAAGCACTGTCAAAGAGACAACCAAGGGATTGGATATGATTTACTTTTCAACTATCGCTTTAGTTCAAAATCACACACATTTTATCCAGTTGCTTTTGAATTATTTACTTTTGTCACATACGGAGGTGCAAAATCTGATCTCATGGGAAAAACAGTTCCATTTATTTAAACTAAACAATTTTCACAATAATTCACAATAATCAATTAAAAAGATTTAAGTAAATGTTTACATTTCATACAGGAGCAGGGATATATCTTATACTTGGAAAGCACATCATGCATTGACTTTGCATTGCTAAGACGAATTTGAGAAAATTGTGGTAATACTTTCCTTCTTGTTTGTAATATTTTTAAAATGTACACTCTGCCCTATTTGCAAACAATGCTCTCATTATTGGGCCACCAGGTCTAAGATTTTATGAGAAGTAGGCTGGGTGTTGAAGTCCAAGATTTTCTAAAGGGAAAGTGGTTGAGGCATTAGAGTCAACACATACAGAGACCAAAGACCTTAAAAATATACCAAATATACAGTATTGTAGAATGTTATTTAAAGGAATGAACTTAAAAGTTTTTTGTCAGTGATAACAATGATCAATATCTGATGGAAGTGGTTGGTGGATACACTGGATAGCCCCAGTTAAATTAATCTGTCCTTACTCTCGGTGATAGACCTTTACAGACTTTTCTGCAGCCACTACCAGATCACCATCCGATGTGAATGTCATGCCACATGGATGACCACAGTCCTTGATCGCACATCCAATGTACTTGCCATCAGGACTGTAATGCAGAATATCACCTGTTTCATACACAGCAACATAGATGCTGCCATCACTGTCACAGCACACACCAGTAGGGCCCCAACCCCCCTGTATGCTGCTGGTCATGTCTACTGAGAATACACTGGTACCATAGTAGTCTACACATACCAACCTTTTGTTGCCATAGTTTGTGTAGATAAGGCAGTGATTGTACATTGTCAGATAATATCCCATCATTGGAGCAGGCAGTCTCCTGATGAGGGACCCATCTGGGTTGTGTAGAGATATCTCATCCTTGCCTGCATGACCCACTGCCATCAGATTGCTGTCATCCACTGCAAGGCATGTTGGTTGGCTGTCTGAACCTCTACCTGGTGTGAACTGATGGAGGAGCTGATGTTGCTTGTTGAAGACCTTGACTACTGGACCATTTAGAACTCGGAGGTTGACATCCTTGCTGACTGCAATGCACCTTGCATCAGTGAGGCCATTGATTTGTAGCCTTTGTGGAATAGGAGGTGGTCCATGTTGACTATTGGTCAGTGATAATGTGAATAGTGTTTTACATCTTCCAAGAACTGTTTTGGATAGTGCAAGTATTTTATTGTTAGAGGGTACTGCAATAAGTGATATGGATGATGATGCACTTAATTCAAAGTTCTTGATTTCAGTCTTTAGTTCCCATTTCTCCTTCACACATGATCTTCCAGGTCTTGGTGATTGCTTTGCTGCAGCCTTTGGCTCTTGCTCCAGAATGAGTCTCCCAAGTGACCTCTCACCTTCTTC